GGGGGGCTTGTTGTGAGTTGGGTTTTGATGCAAAGTCTGGGGATGTCAGTCAAAAGGAGCTGGGGGTGCAGGAGGTTGAGGGCTGGGAGCATATTGGCCATAGAACCAAAATGCTTTTGGTGTCCATGCAAAAAGCAGCAGGTGGCAAAGGTGTAGCCAGGACATCTTTGCAGGGACACTAACATGTTTTTATCATATCTTTGATCATGTATTCTTATTTATATGTGATTAAACACAATGAGTTTAACTTTCCATTTTAAATTGTAGCTTGGTTATGTTAAGGCACCAAAAGCACTTGGCTGGGTTTAGGGACAGATGACTTTTTTCACACTTCGGCAGGTAACACTGGATCCTCTATTGGACCATGCTGGGAGATTTTAGAGCTTAAGGGTTTTTTATCCTGAGCTTAGATTGTGTTTCTATATTAACAGGGTGATGAGATGCACGAATACAAAAACATTTGAATACAAAAACTCATAAAAACATCAATTCTACAACCTATAAATTGCAGCTATTCTCATGCTGTCATGCTGTGGGTGTTAGACTGTGTCAGAGGTGGCAACAGTCTTTCACTCCAGCTTGTTAATCAACCAACAACCCAGACAGAGTTTTAATTCGTCACCCTCCAACCACTCGCAGCAGATGGCTGCCACTTCCTGAGGTTTCTTCCTGTTAAAAGGGAGTTTTTCTTTCTCACTGTGGCCTAGAGCTTGCTCAAAGGGGGTTGTTTGATTGTTGGGATTTTCTCTGTATTATTGCAGAGGGTATCCTACAATATAAAGCCCCTTGAGGTGACTAATGTTGTAACACTGTATAAATACAACTAAAAACTGAACTGAATTCATTTGAAAACCTGACTTTTCACCTTTCCATGCTTTGATTTGTTGTTTTTGAATCTTTCTGGCCTTTAAGCACAGTTTCTATGTGAATTCTCAAACTTTTTATCTGATTTTCTGCTCAGTTCAGATAAAATGATTATGACAAGTGATTTTAGCATTCATGTAGATGCTTAAATTGACAGCATCAAACATGCATTTAATCTGTTATTAGACTCGCGTGCTTTCTCTCAAAATATAAATGAGCCCACCCACCATTCGATTTACACTCCGGTGCTCGACATACGGCAAAGAAACTGAACATTTAAGCATTTAGAACCTTAAGGTCACTACTGAATTGAATTGAATTGAGAAAATGAAAAATACATTTCATTCCAGTAGTTGTCTTTCCCAAAGTGTTGTAACTAAGTTTAAGGATATAGTTCCTTCACTGTTATCTTCTTCAATGCCATATCCCAACACTGTGCAGAGAAGCCACCTAAACTCAATTCCCACAAAGGTTATCTTGTTAATAGTTCATAGTCAGTGCATTTCTCACATCGCTTGACCTTGGACACTTGGACTCCGCTGAAAAAGAAAACATCAAATCAGAAGTACTTAACTCCCTGGTATAACTTACAATTGTGCAAATTAAAGCCGGCCACTAAAATAGATCTTCACTTAGCCTTGAATAAGAGTTTGTTGCTCTATAAAAAAGCCCTCTGTAAAGGTAGGACACCTTATTATTCATTATTAACTGGAAAAAAAAGATCGACCCCAGATTTCATGTCAGCGCTGTAGCCAGACCGACAAAGTTAGAGCTCTGCTGAGCCGAATATTCATTTTAACTAGTAACAAGTTAATGAATTCTTTGACAAAAAAACTGTAACCATTATTTGAGAAATTATTCATAACCATCTCACAGACGAACAGCTGCTTTAGTTCTTCTGACATTTATTTCGACTCTATTCCTACAAGGCTGCTCAAAGTTCTGCTATAAATGAATGCCTAAATCTTAAATATGATCGATCACCCAAGTGTCTACATGACACTCACTAATTACTTAAAATGCAGAAATTTCTGTAGTAATTTCTTAATGACATAAAGGCCCGGGGCTTTCATTAAAAACAAACAAACAAAGTAAACAAGAGTACTATACTGTAGTCATAGTCAGGCCAGTATTTCACTTCAGTATATTAAACCATATTAAAATATTTTGTTATGTTCTTTATGTTTTTTAAAAATAGAAAACGGTGTTATGAATGCCACTGAATGGTTGTTCTCATTTTAGATCATTTTTGTTGCTCTTTCAGTTTACATAAAAATTGCAGTGTGTAACACTGAAATGCCCTTATGTTACCATGCTACTCATTAGTTCCGCTTTATAAAACAAGTGGTTTTAAAGTATTGTTTGACTGTCATTTTGGGCAAATATTTCATTTTGGTAATTGCTTTGAGTTACTGGTCTATGTATTATTTTAGAGTCTATATTATTGTATGGTCTACAACATAAAGCAACTGTTGTTGTGATTTGATGCTATATAAATAAAACTGAATTAGATTGAATTGAATTTGCATTGTTTGTCATTTTTGATCTTCATTATGTAAATTTCTGTTGGAATTTAAGATGTTATGCTCCATTGATTCATCCTGATTTGTTAATATATAAAGTGTTGTTACATGTCGTAAACTGGTGTGTACTGGGCCACCATGTGGTGCTGAAATAAGTAAGCTATTCTGAGAGACAAAAACCACATTTTTGCTTCTGAATCTGAGGTTCAACTCTCTTCTTTGGTAGCCTGGCACAAAAGTTTTTGCTGATGATTGTGATCCCCCTACAGTTGGAGCACACACCCCTTCTTGAGCATTTGTTTAACTGCATCAGTGACCTAACCCCCAGTGATAGGCAAGGGTCCCCCTCATCCCCAGGATCCGCTTCCATTATGGAAGGCGTGACAGTAGGATTAAGGAGGTCTTCAGTGTATTCCTTCCACCTCCTGGCTATATCCAAAGTTGAGGTCAGCAGCATTCCATCCCCACTGAATATAGTCTCCCTGCTCCTGAGTCGTCCGAGGCTTTTCCAGAATCGCTTTGTCTAATAAGGGGATGAGCAGACCATACTTTCTGCAGAAGTATGGTCATGAAACAATGGTTCTCCATCATGGACAGCCCATCATACACACTCCACTGAGGCAGCAGAGCTAGTTCTCCCTCAGACTAATGTGTACCTGCTGCCGTAAAGAATGCTTCAGGAATTCATTCAAACCATTCTTGGTGAAACTTTACAATAACCCTTCTTCCTGTGAACACACCTTAGTCAGGCATAATATTCTACACATTTATTTCTATATTATACCGTGTTGCAACTGTTTTTCTTAAATTTATAGTATACATATTATTAATTAATTCAATTTGCATTATTCTCTTGCACAAGGTCAGTCTTAATTTAAGTATCTCAGGGAGATGGGAGCGGGAATTTAACAGACGGATTGGTGCTGTGGCTGCAACAATGTGGACGCTGTACATGGTGAAGAGATAGCAGAGCTTAAAGGGAAACTCTCGATTTACATCTATATCCGGGGTAGATGTAAGTCTGAACCCCACCCTGTATGCTAAATGAAAAGGGAAAGTTTTAAGCCCTATCCTAAAAGCAGAGAGGGTGTCTGTCTTTTGAATCCAAGCTGGAAGCTGGTTCCACAGAAGAGGAACCCGAAAGCTGAAGGCTCACCTCCTATTCTACTTTTGAATATCCAAGGAACCACGAGTGAACCAACAGTCTAAGAGCGAAGTGCTCTACTTGGGTGATATGGTACTACGAGGATTTTAAGATGAGATGAATCCAGGTTGGGTTGAGCCAGGACTCTGCAGTCTATTTACACCTACAGGCCAGTGGACACTCTTTCAGTGATGAGGATGTAACATCCTGGACAGGGGGGAACGCTGGTCTGAGCGCGGAGTCAAGGAGGCCATTTACGTGAAAAGGGAAAGACCATCTCTGAATCGAGGAGGGGGCCTAAGGGTACACCTTTCACCATCTTACAATGCTGTGATTGCAGCCATTCCCCAACTCTCTGTGAATGGGACTCATGGCCATTGATCAGTGATCGTGATGCTTTTCATAATGATCATGTGTCAGGGCTCTGTGTGCGGGCAGGTGGAGATGTGGATCCAAGTGCAGGACTCAGAGATGGAAATGTAACTGAAAACTTCAGCTTTATTGCTGGCACCAAACATGAAACCACTAACTGGAACACACAGGCAGGATCTGAGGGGACAACACGACACTGAGCAAAGGCAACACAGGGCTAATATACACAGGGAGGTAATCAGGGAATGGAAGACAGGAGGGAGACACAGCTGGGAGAGATCAGGGCTGACGAGACAGGGAGAGTGAAGCTGGACACACTAACATAAGACACAGACCTTCACAATAAAACAGGAAACCACACTTTACCAAGACCTGGGCTAGACAGAAAGGTGGACTTGACACTGAACAAAACCTACTAATACAATAATAAACACAGTATCACAAAGTAAACAGCATTTAACTAATAATCCAGAGAAATACCATGAACAGAAGAACTAATCCCTCACCAGGAATAAGACATAATCATAATCAAAGCACCAGAGAATAAGAAATAATCATATAATCATGAAACTGGCCTCACGGCTCATTGTTAGTGAGTGGTGCTTGTTTCAGTCATCATTCAAATTTCTCCCACTGAAAATGCTACGTCCAGATAAACGGAATCAACTTTTTGGGATTTCCTTACCTCGCAGCAAAAGTTTTCTGGCACAACTTCACCTGCTTCCAAGGTGCATGGAGAGGATGAAAGAATTCACAAAGCAGGAACTCCAGCAACAATTGAGGGAAGATGAACAACTTTAATAATTGACCAACGCGTTTCGGCTTGTGGCCTTCATCAGGGTCATGATTTCCTTACCTGGAAGATTGAGCATGCATAAACACACTTATCTGTGGTATTGCTGAACTGAGGTCTAACAGGACACATACGGAGATGAGTTCACTGAACAAAATTAACTCCATTCAATAGATATGATTGAAACCACTGCAGCACAGTACCTGTAACAGTAACTGCACGCTCTAATCACTAAAATAAAATTTTATGGTCAACAGAATCTGCAGTAGGAGGTCTAG